GAAGCACGCCTGCGCTCGGCAGGCGTAGACTGACCTCAACCACAACCAGAACAAAACTAAGCCCTATGTGCAAACTGACAGATGTTTGAGTGGATCAGTTTTGATCGCTTAGTAATTCTGTTTAGGATCTCACAACGTTGTTTACTACGCAGCAGCCAAAGCACCATGGTTTCTCAAAATTGCACGTGCCTTGTGGGTCAGATTCTTGAGACAAAGGCTCCGGTTGGTGTTCCCGAAGAAAAACCCCTTCGTCGGTGTGGGCTGCCGCGAAGTATGCCGACTTTAGTCTTAGGCACCCATTTGGACAATCATCTTCCCCATCTGTCTAGTTCTTCTTCTCAACCCCGAATAATCCTATTTACGCCACCCATCGAATATCACTCAGCGTTTTACAAGCATGGCCAGACAACCAGAAGCTATAGGATTTTTAGAGCCAAAATCCCCTTTTCACTTAGCCGCATTCAATGTCCGCACGCTCTATCAGATTGGCCAACAAGCTGCCCTGACTAGAACCCTCGAAACTTTCAATTTAGATGTGTTGTGTCTCTGAGACACGCAAACAAGACCCCATTTCCATGATCTCTCTGTGTTCTCCTGATCCAACCTCAACTTTAAGTTTCACTCTTCGTGTGTCAGGCGATTCGACATCCGAAGCTCGCGGTGTTGCTGGTGTCGGGGTTGCGCCAAGGCTGAGCGCTCGCTTCTTGACTAGATTCCAGTCAGTAGTCGATTGTATGCTGTACGTTTCAACGGTTCTTTTTGAGTCAACAGCTACAGAACGAAGCGTCGATGCTTATTCGTCGTATCGGCGTATGCCATGACTGTATACTTGAAATCGAGGATGAATTCTACAAGGATCTTTCTCAACTACTCCAAAGTGCTCGATCAACGGGCATCGTGGTAATCGCCGGCGACTTCAATGCTCAAGTGGCATACCTGGACGAATGAGAAAGGCTTCTTGGCGGACCACATGCAATCTCAGCCAACCAGACGGACAACGGAGATCGCCTACTACAACTCTGCGCGGAATACGGATTGTTCCTGTCAAACACGAACTTGTTACGAGCCAAGTTCTCCTTACGCCCGGGAAAAAAAAGCAAAAACCCACCGATAACGGATACCCACGATAGTGTCAGCGATTTATGCAAATCGGCATTCGAAGCGGAGCTCTCCGAAGGACTTAATGAACACTGGAAGCAAATCAAGAAAGATATGCAGATATCGATAAAAACAATGTCGGACCTTGCCTCAATCTCAAAACACAAACGATGGATATCACTAACCTCGGTTGCCCTGCTGGAAGCCCGCAGAACCCTTCCTCCTGATGCCACATACGACACACCACGCAAATCTCTCAAACGCCAACTCACCAAGAGTATGAGGAATGACCGCAAGAAGTGGTGGGTAGAAAAGTGTAAAGAGATTGAGAAAGCTGCGGCTATCCGTAATAGTCGTAACTTTTTCCATCTAATTAAGAATACGGGTCCTAGGAAAATAGGCGTAAGTGAGGTAATTAAGGAATCCGATGGCAAACTGATTCACGATCAACAACGCCGTCTTGACCGTTGGGCTGAACATTTCAAGGCTCAGTTCAACTGGCCCCCATCGACACCTTATCTTTCACTCTCCGCCTCGACTGGACAAATACTGCCAGTTGATGCTAGTCCTCCATCTGAAATGGAGGTATCTTGGGAAATAAGTTATCTCAAAAGGCATAAGGCCTCTGGTCCAGATGGGTTGTTCCCATCAGCGTTCAAAGATGGAGGCTCAGTGTCAGTTGACAAAACTCCTGGGTTCAATATGGGAAAGAGAGGAGGTTCCAGCTGAATGGTGAGTCGGTGATCATACCGATTTACAAGAAAGGTGATAGATCCTCTTGTGAAAACCAGAGGAAGTAGTTTAATCAACATCGTCTCTAAACTTCTCGCTGGCATCATACTCCGTCGATTGTCTGCCGCATGTGAACGTGAGAACCGGGCTGGTTTTAGACCCGGTCGAGGTTGTATCGACCACATCATCACTCTGCGCCAAATTCTGGAGCACCGGCATTATTTTCGTAGACCCATCATCTGAAAGCGACTTTCGACTCAGTCGACCGCTCTAAACTCTGGCGCTGCCTTTTTCTGAAAGTTGTGCCCGAGAAGTTGATTTTAATATTACGATCGCTTTATACTAATAGCCGAAGTCGAGTCCGAGCTTACGGTACTTTTTCGCCCGAGTTCACCACGGAAAGCGGTATTCGACAGGGTTACCCTCTTTCTCCTCTTCTATTCAACTTTGTTATAGATTTGATTATGGAAACAGCCCTATTCTCGTGTGAGGATAGCGGCATCGATTTTCTCCCAGATGGCAGGACGTCCGATCTCGAGTACGCAGACGACATTGTGCTGGCAAGTGAAGATTCAGGTAAGTCGCAAGCATTTCTTGAATACCAGCGTAGCCATATTCGGTATGCGTTTTGCAGCTTGAAAGTGTAAAATGTTATTACAAGACTGGGTTGGTAGAGCACCCAGCCTCACTTTAACTGAGGAAGTAATAGAGCAAGTGAATGAGTGTTGTTGTTTGGGCACATCTCATCTGGTTAAAGCATCACGGATGAAGTGTCCGCTCGCATACAGAAGGTTTGGTTAGCATTTGCTAACTTGAAACATCTGTGGCGCCGTCGTGACATCCGGCTGTCTGTTAAGGGTTGAGTGTATGCCGCAACAGTCCGGCCAGTTCTCCTATACGGTGCAGAAACTTGGCCATTAAGAAAACAGGATAAAGATAGACTGTCGGTGTTTGAATACCGCTGTCTACGCAGCATTGCACGAATCTGGTGGGGTAGCCGGATGAGCAATGCTGAGGTTAGGCGCACAGTTTTGGGTATCCCCGGCCGTCCACTGGAGCAAGTGGTCGACCTCCATAGCTTAGGATGGTTGGTACATGTGTTACGCATGCCACCAGATAGATTACCACGGCGAGCGATGTTCGTCGAAGCAGATACCGAGTGGAAAAAAGCCAAGGTTGGTCAAATCACCTGGTACGAGGGTATGAAAACCCTAACCAGGAAACTGGGTCACATAGGTCCTGTTAGGATCCCTGGCTGGGGACCTCAGGATGATCGTAAACGATGGTTAGAGACACTGAGCGATATAGCTGGGTGTCGCAATCAGTGGCGTTCGTGCATCTCCTCAATTTCTTTGCAACCTTAGACCACTAAACTTCTCCATTTTCTGTTCGACTCCACTTTTAACTTTCTTGTCTTTCTCTTAATGTTCATCCAAATGGACAACCAAAAGACAGCAACCAAAACCGGCGCACGATAGTGCATGGTTAATGTTTGTACAAACTGAAACTGAAAACTGAATCGTTGCTCTTCAATGCGATAGCATCCATACAGTAATTACCGCGATGACATCACTGTTCGGTAAAAAGATGTCTAGATTTAGTCCGAACTCACTCAAAGAAAGCCTCAATCAGTTCTTGTCGTAGAGTGGATAACAAATGTCGATGACTGTACGGATATCCAAGTTCTTTTAAGGCAGGCGAGAGCTCGGGACGGATCTCCGGTGGGCAAGTACCGAAGTAATTCAGATCCGGGGGGAAAGTGCGCAAAAGGTCCAGAATGTATGTGCGGCCATCGTTCCCCACAATACCCTTGCAGTCGATTGAGGAATAAAGCTCCACAATTTCATTGTTTTGACTAACGACCCTGTCAGAAGGAGAATTAGTTACGAAATGAAAATGAACGACAGCAAAATTTTTGGTAATATGTAAGTATTAACTCGTAACTTTAGAACACAGCCAAGTTTGAAAGCGAAAAAAAAATATTTTAGGTGTAGATAAATTTGAATCTCAACATCGTGTGTTGAGGTTATCAGAATCCAACCACGCGTCACTAATTTTGGGAGTTACTTTCAGTTTCATGGTGGGTGATTTTAATGCATGAGCTGTAGCATTTTGAGGGGTTTGTGAGAACATGGGTTTTGGAAAGCATGGAAACGGATGTCTTTATCTTGATGCTCGGCCCAGTGAGAGATTCACCAGAAACACCATTAACCGACTATGGAGAACCGTAAAAGTGGGATCCAGGGGAAACGGCTGGCGAGGAAAATCCAGAATAGATGAATGGACAGGTAGACATCAAAGACAGAAGAATATTGTTTTTTGTTTCATCACATCATAACATTCATTCAGGAGGGGAATCATGAATGATCACAACTGAAAAACCATCAGCATACACCCGTCCAGTAAATTTAATAAACACTTACTTGTGCGGTCTGATTTTCAACTGTTTTGCCGTCTTGGAAAGTAGTTCCTTGTATCGATCATCCGAAAGCACAGTTTTCCCGAAATCAATTGAACCATAAACAACCAACTGTTCTTGTTCCTTTTCCAGAATGCCTTTGGGAAAACGATGCAACACACTACGATGACCGCGTTAACGACAAATGTGGTCAATATACAAGTCAAGAATGTATAGAAATTACGATAAGGCAAGCATAGATCAGCGTGCAGTGCGCCAAATTTAGAAGTACGTAATGAACGTAGTACATAGCGCAATTTTCATGGTAAGCAATAGGAGCACATGAAAGGACAAATATACTTGTTCGTCGTTGTAGTGAAGTAGCATGTACGAAATTCTAAATGCTTGCTCGACGTTTGCTTTACTTGGCAAACTTTCGGAGCATTTTGGATAAGCTACGAAACGCAGCAATCCGATGTGGATCTGCGATGAACGTATATGTAATGCAGTCCACGGTTCCATTCAATGGTTCTTCAAGACCAGATAAAGAAACAGTTGTTCCTCACTTCAAATGCATTTGCAGGCACTGCATTCGTTAGATTTGGGGTGGAGAACCACACAGGGTTTTGTGAAGTTATAGAACCGGATAACAGCAAAGGAGTCTAACATCACATTTGGGTGGTGGTGGCATGGCTCTAACCTCGGACCATGGGGTCCAAAGCTCGCAGGTGGCTGCTTATTCGGATCCAAGAGTAGAAAGATCGGAATGGTGAGAGCGGTGCCAGGTGAAAAAAAGAATTCATATAGATTAAGACTGCAAGGATAATGTGCGGACCCATGGGTGCTATTGCTTACGACACTCAGCCATATCACCCAGTATATCTAACCATGATTCCGGAGCCTAACGCGAAAGCGGTTTCACGTAATTTTTGCCCTTCCAACTTTCCTCCCATTTGCAATTCCTCTGGTACTCTATTTTGTGATCCCCACGAAAAAGCAGAGGTCTTCGCTTCCCGGTCTGCCTCCAACTCCACCTTATCTGCCGCCTCTACTGTTCAACACATCCAGTCATTCTTTTCTACCTATCATAACAACCAGAAAGGTCCGCCAAACTCTTCGCGAATTGGATGTTTGTGAACTACCCTGTCCGGACGGTATTCTACCGATCGTCCTAAAAATGTGTGCCCCGGAGTTAGCGCATGTTCTATGCCGTCTTTTTTGTTATTCACTCGAACTTAAATCTTTCCTTACTCCATGGAAAAATGCCATTATTTTTCCAGTCCCAAAGCGCGGCTACCCTTCCGACCCCAACAACTACCGTCACATTAATCTTACATCTGTAATCTCGAAAGTGTTTGAAACTATTATCTCCGACCAACTGCGTACGTTTCTCGAACGCGGTTTGTTAAATGACCGTCAGTATAGATTTCGCCCTCGTCGATCTACGGGTGATTTACTGGCGCTCCCATCACATTCCAGGTCGGCCGCACTCGATAACCACGGAGAAACTCACACGGTCTGACTCGACNAAGGCCTTCGACCGCGTTTAGCATGAAGGTCTGCTGTCGAAATTACCCACCCGTCTCTGGTATCGTGGCTTCGTTGTTTCCTCCTCAAATGAACTACCTCCATCCGAGTAGATGGGGTTCTATCTTGGCCATTTCCTGTAAACACCTGTGTTCCCCAAGGTCCCATACTTTCGTCCACCCTCTTTCTCTTATTTATCAACCATCTTCAAACATCTAATCCTATCCACTGCTTTGCCGATGATGCCACTCCCCATTGTCCTCTTTCTTATCCCACAATCCGTCAAGCTAATGCCAACATCGATCACTATCATTGTCATTAGCGTTTCCCTTACCTCCGATCTCGGACTAATCCCCGCATGAGGTTCTACCAACCATGTGCTTCGATGCTTCCAAAACTTCTCTCAGTCTCTCTTAAACATGTCTCCTTTTCTTCTCAATTGATTTGTGATTCTCTCCACCGTTCCACAAATTCGCTCTTCCATTCGGGTTTATCCATAAATTATTCTCCATTGGTCCCCTTTTATCTCTACACTTGCCACTCGCGCTACGCGCAAAGTTGGTTTTCTATTCTGTGCAAGGCGTTTCTTTACACCCAAGCACCTTCTTCTTTTATACAAAGCTCAAATCCGCCCGATGCTTGAATACTGCAGTCACGTATGGGGTGGAGCTTCGTATTCCGCTCTCTCTCCTCGACCGTGTTCAACGTAAAGCCATCCGGCTGATCGACGAACCGTCTTTAACTTCACTTTGCAGTCGCTTTCCCATCGCCTGGCAGTTGCTTTGTTATCTCTTTTCTATCGTTACTCTTTTGGTTTCTGCTCTTCCGAATTCGCTTCAGCGGTCCCCCTTCCACTGATTTCTCTCGTCCATCTCGTTCTCAGGCGACCAGTCATCTTTATCAGGTTTCTCTCCTCAGATGTCGGACTTCTATCTTTCAATCTTCTTTTTTCCCGAGGACTGCGAAATTGTCAAACACTTCTCATTTCCGTGTTTCCCAGCTCTTATAATCTTACCCTTTTCAAAAACAGGATTAACAAATTGGTTCTTACTTCAATGTTCCCCCACATACTCTTACAGTATACCATTGATTATGGGGCTTATCTTTTTGCTGTAAATCACTTCGCGTGTAATAATAAGGTCTCAATTTGACCACCCTTGGCTTTTTTGCACTCACTACCTGCCTCTGCAAACATCGCAAGCCTTGGCAATATATTTGGTCACATGTGAACGACAAAACTGTTCGCCAATGACGCTAACAGGCGATGACAATATCCAAAGCTCGGAAATTGAATCGTGTATATGATAGTGATTGCGAAATGAGTCTTAGATCTTCCTTTGCCCCATTGGAGTTTAAGAAGTCCCTTGACTGTGGTTTGTAGCATGATCACAACTTAAACGACAATTCACAGCAATCGTTGTAGTCTAAATTAGCAAACAATGAGAATAATGACAAACCGATACCTCATTTGAGAAATGTTACCGAAGTATTTTCTGCGCCTGAAGTTAGAAATGAATTTAGCAACACGTACGGATCAAGGACGAGTTGTGGGGGTCAAATTAAGTGATGACTTACCCGGTATAATTGTTTGGGCAGTGACACGATATCCCCTATAGTCGATTATGGCGGTCCCGAGGGTATGTAAACCAGCCTGATCCAGCATTGAATAGGCCCGTACTCCGTTCAAATCGCTTGACTGCGTGAAAACNTAGTTTATTCACAAGGTTACTGTACCATATTCAACTACTACTAGGAACAGACAAGAATGCGCTTACGTACCCTGTTTTGTGAATTGAACACAAGACAACAAAAATAACACCGAACGACAACACATAGTATATTCGGATAATGCATCATTAAATGACATGGAACAACTCACCGTAGCTACGTACGCCNCCAAAGTGTCTATAGTGCTCTTTCACATCGAATCCCAACGAGAAGAACATGTTGTTCCAGATGAACATTTGCTGTTTCCTCGTCTCCCCCGGATTAATGGCCATAATATCACCATTGACAACACTGACCGCAGCTCGAACCGCAGCAACCACAAAATCACTGTTGGATTTGAAAATTGCTCGATCACGGAGCAAACGTTCCGTGAGACGGTTTTGGGGAAGTTCATGAGTTACTTGAAGCTCTTCGTTCCAGTCACGTGTCTGACCGGGCAAATTTTCTTCACATGCCATTCGTGAAGAAAAGGCTGTCAAATTAACGAGGATGCGTATTTAGTGAGAATGAAACTAGTTTAGAAAATGAGTCATACAAAAAAGAGGTGAAAAGCGCATCGGATGACTGCATCGAGCGAACAGCCAGTGATGAGGCATAGACAAAACAAACGAATGTTCCACCTTCGATATTGCAATGAAACTCAATGTTCAATTCAGTTTCCAAAACCCTTAACCATGCACTAACGTGCGCCGGTTTTGGTTGCTGTCTTTTGGTTGAACATAAGGATCGAAGAATTTCTTCGACAACGCACCATGACAGTTCGGGTTTCTGGGTCACCTTCTGATCCCATCAGCGTATCACGAGGAGTTCCACACGGATCCGTGCTGGGCCCTCAACTTTTCCTTGTTTTGATAAACGACCTAACGGACATTCTCGGGCCACATACACTAATGTTTGTAGACGATGCAAAAATATGGAAAATGGTGCCAAAACCAGAGGACTCGCTGGAACTCCAAAGAACATTTAATGCTGCCTATCGATGGTCGATCGAAACTGACATGGAATTTAATGCATCAAAATGTACGATCGTATCCCTTCGACACAAACCGCGGTTTCCTTTTTTCCTAGGAGATCAACAACTTCCGTACGTCTCGAATGAGAAGGATCTCAGTGTCATTGTTCAAGACAAATTAAGCTGTTCTTTAAACTGCTCCCGCTGTAAGATATGTTGGTTTGCTCAAACGAGTATTTGGCAAATTTGAACCAATGATGTTCCCACGATTATCAGCCTACGTTCGACCCCAAACAGTACGCCATTCAAGCATGGAATCCACGGCTGCAATACGATCAGAAGATTCTGAAACGTCCACAAAGAATGGTTACCAAAATGGTCAAAGGACTGCATTCCAAGAGTTATGCGGAAAGACTGGAAGCACTGCAACTGTACTCCACACGGTATCGCTGCATTCGAGGAGACTTGATTTTGTATGCCAAATAATGCAGAACCCAGACCAACCATGTTGTCCACTCTTTGCCTTGTCGCCCAACACTCACCTGCGAAGGCACTCATTCAAAGTAGTGCTCCAAAAATGCCGACTAGAATGCCAGCATCATTCATTCGCCTTCAGAGTATGCATTACTTGGAATTCTCTACCACCACAAGTTGTTTCTGTGCCCACAATTGATTCATTCAAACCCAAACTGGATACAGCTTTGAAAAGTCTTATAGTTCAAGATCCGTAGAAGCGCACGAAAAAATGACAAATTGTGGCATTCATCTACTTTGTATGAACTGTGAAACGATTGATCTGTGCCAAATCCTATGGGACTAGAAAAGCAACCGCTTGTAAATATTTCCCATAATAAAACTTTGACTTTGACTATAAGGAGAAAGACATGAAAGGTTGAAAGTAGAATGGAAGAGAAAATTTAGGATTTCATTGCACTAATTTTGCAGAGAAACTGAAAAGATGCACGAACGCCACTGTTTACGACACTCAGCCATATCACTCAGTGTCTTTAACCATCGGGTATGATCATGATTTGAACAACCACCACATTTCAATAAAATTTCGTCAACCAGCGAAGAATATACTGTTATTTGATAAATTAAGGTGTAATCGCTGAAACAGAGAGTCACTTGCAGTCATATATGATTAGCGGACACAACAAACTCAAATGCATCTGCGTTTGTCTCACCTTCCTCCTTGCGAACAGAATCCGGTGTATGCTCGACGGAGGGAGCTAACCAACTGTACACTTGATAAGGACTGGGAACACGTTCAAAAGGATGTTTGGCTGCACGACGCTTCAGAAGGGCTTCGAAATTACGTTTGAAGCCGGGGCTCAGTAGTCGGAGAAGATCGACCAAAGAATGGGCCACATGCGCATGTTGCACCGGATGGGGATTGAACTCATCCTCTGTAGACCTGAAATGATAGTTAATACGGAGAGCGTAAAGGACACAAACAACGTGTCAGTACAGCCGGACACTCGACAGTCTAAATCGGCTACTATCTTAGTCCCTGCTGGAATCTAGATGAACTTAACCTACTATTACGCCAACTTTTACTAAATTCATGCCAGGAAACCAAAATTTTGTTAAAATACCGTATCAGTGCACCTATTCCATACACTATTGAATTGCCTTAGGTACCCACCTGTATGCTCAATGGCAAGATGGTGTGGTGCTTGTGCAATTCACGTGTTTTCTTCTGAATTATCGTGATACGATTGCTGTTTTGTATAAGGACTGGTTTTATCTTACCACATCGTTTCCGTGTTTTTCTCATCTTGACGGCTATGATCATAATCACCGGGCATCTTGGACGTTTGTCCCCATCCAATGGGACTGTGATCCGACGAACTGGACACCGGCCTCCAATGGATTTCGGTTTTCACACACCGCCCCGCTACCTTGCGGGTCAGGCTTTGGCTAGCCGAAGGTTCCGGTTGTGAACTCTCTACGAAAATCCACCTGCCTTGACCTGGGCAATCTGACAGTATTCCATGGAACGTTTTTCTTATCATGAAGAATATTATACCGTGGTTTGTTTGGTACGCAGTCTGAACATAGACGTGTGTGAAATCCATGATTGTAATCACCATCATCATCATTTTACAGCGGAACATAGTGCTGCGAACTTCACCGATCACTGCCAAACCCATAATGCATACAAGTGAGAATGGGTAAGATGGACAGGGATTAGTTCCATATTTGGGGACAGGGAACAAAAGAGCCTCTATGGTCAACATGTGGCGTACACAGGTGGACTGTGCATACATCCTATTTCAAGCATTCCGAGCTGAAGAACGCCACTGTCGATTCGCTGCCACGAC